GCAATCTCCTCCATATGATCGCTGCTTGGGAAGCAGCTCTCCTTTCCTTTTCTTGGTTCATATCAGCAGTTTGCCAGATAACAGTTCTCTCTCTTTTCCCAGGCTGTCCTTTGGCACTGTGGAGGGACCTGTGTGCTATGGGATATAAGCATCAGCAAAGGAATTAGAGTGCAGTTCAGCCTCAATTTTTTTACAACTACCAAACACTCAGTACTCTTCTCTGCACCACATTTAATAAAATTTGTAGTGATGGTTGCATCCAGTTGTGCTCCATGTTCTCCCTTTACATTTTCCTGCCCCAAAACGCATTCACCATCCAAAGTCAACTCATCATAAATAGTTAAAAAGAACTGCTAGATTAATATTGACAAAGCTTTGTCTTGATAAAGCACCAGGCACTAAGAGGGCTTACGCTTCTCTTTTGAGACACTACTAAGCACACACCTCTATCATTCTAACCGCATTCACGCTGGGATTTAAATCACTTATGAAGCAGAGTTACCAAATAAAACCCTCCTTAAATGTACCTTTAACGTATGCATAAACATCTGTCCTTGTTCTTCCCCTAATCATTCCTTGTCAATATGTTTCATAAGAGCTGTCAGTAGTCTCCTTTGACATTTCCTGCACACACAACGAGCATTTAAAAGCCATTCAAGTAAGTGATATAATAGCAGATGGAACATTTGTCCGGCTCATGTGCTGTCCTTATCACATTCAAGAGAAAAAAGTAATCAATTAACCTCCCCAATATAGTGTTGACTAATGGGACACTTGCACAGCACCAGATAACCTCAAACATTAGAAAGACAGTGCATTGCAAAGTCCAGCAAGTGAGCAGAAAAGCAAGCATCTGGTTTATTAAGAATTATTTCTTCCACCAGCACACTACTAAAAACAAGTTTACGAAAAGCTTAAAGCGGGATTAGAAAATAAAGGAACCGATCACTGAGAGCATTTCCTCCCACTGAAGCATTCTCACATGAATCTCAAACAGAGCACTAAGCTGCAGCAGTCTCGTGCTTTCACAGAGGGACTCAGCCAGAGCAGCCACTACCACAGCCGAGGAACAGTTCTGAGCAGCACCCATATTCCTGAGTATTCAGGGAACAGCCCTGTCCTCCGCCAAGCCACATTCTTGCAATGACACAGCCACCTTTAGTGTTTTACCCAGGGCAGCTTCGGTGGGCGGAAAATAAACACAAAGCAGACAGCAACGTTTTTAGGATCACTCAATCTTGCATCAAGTTCTGGAACTAGCTCAGCCAGCATCAAAGCCCCCAAGCTGCTGCTGTATCAGCCCTTCTTCCCCACAGCCCAACATGACCATCACAAAGGTCAAAACCAAGAACGAGATATCCATCCCCATTTTTGCCTTTATGTAGTTTTCGTGTCCCACTTGCTTCTCTTCAGCCATTCTGCACAGCAACCAGCTAATTCTCACACATGCTGTCTATTCTCAGTTTAAACATGCACACTCCAAGTAACACCTAAACTTAAGGAGGTTGTAGTTAGACAAGCGAGGCAATGAATGCTCCCTGGACTAGGCCAGGAAAATAAAGTAACCAGCCTCTAGACTATAGTAAGAGCTGAAGTTAAACTTTGCTTTTCCCTCCACTTATGTATGCACATACAAAACTCCACACTTGCACTGCGTCCAGTAGCATCCACACACGAGAAGCGCACGCTGGTGCACTCCATGGAGCAGCTGCTGCCACTGGATGCAGAACCCCAGTGACAGATGCCATGATTGTTGTGGCACACGGTTAAACCATACTGCTCTGACTTAGCAGTTTTGATGTTTTCCCCTAATGATACTAACCAGATTCTCCCATGGTGTAGTTCCAGCGTACAGCCTGCCTACCCAAAAGGAAGCCAGGGGAATAAAAACCTCCAAAGTACTGAAGAGAACCCTTCAAGCTGCAGGTACCTCACAGCAGGAGGGGCCCACTCTGTGATAAAGATCACAACACTGCAGAATCCAATACTCCAGTACTTTATTTTCCACCTGTACTATGAAGAGAAACCATAGTCCCCGTGCAGATCAAGATGGAGCTGGATATGGGTAAAGTAAGTAAATATGAGCAAAATGCTGCTGGAAGAAGCTTGAGCATTGTGTAGCAAGTAGTCCTTAGGGAGAGCTTTATTACCATGACAATAAACCAATTTACTAAATGAAGACAACAGCTCTATAGTCCTAAGAAGCCTTAGAACTAAGAATTAAAGAAAACAGTTCTTCATAATTAATGGAAGAGTCACTGAAAAGGGGAGCTGGTGTTTTCAGAAAGTTATTCTAATTTCTGCATCAGCTTTGTTGGAGCTGTTGAAAACACTCATCTGGATTACCAAGTATGGAGTAACACTAATGCTAAGTAAACACAGAACTCTCTTCTCCCAACACTTAACTCTTAAACTAAACACAGAATAGTGTTTGTAATTAGTGGACTAGCAGTCTAGACTCAATATCATGAAGCTGAAGCAGTCTCCCCTATCTGAAAGTTACAGGATCATTTCAGAAACTAATAAATAGGCCAAGTCATTTCTGTACTCTACAGTCCAGATCCAGTATGATTCATCCATAAAATTAAAATTTTATTCCATATGTTTAATGTTCATACACTGTTCTTCTAAATGGACTACTTAATGCCCAGTTAGATTGGCAATATTAAGGTAATTTTATTTTAAGCTTTATGGATTTTCAAAACACATACAAATAATACACTTATTACAAAATTTCATTTGCTAAAGTTTCTTCAGGAATATACATCAAGCATGATCCCAGCACACAGATAAATGACTTTTACAGAAAGCATTACAGAGCAATAAATACTAGTGAAACAGCCAGTCTTTCCACGTACATTACAATGAAAACAGTTTTCTTTCCCTTTGCCACATCCAACATTTCAGTAATAATTTTTTTTTTTCTTTTAAATAACCAGGTCTGAAGTTAAAATGTGTAAGTAAACTGACTGTGGAAGTCAGCTGGCACTTGGGAGCCCTGAAAAGAAGAATAAGCAATATTTTTCAAGTTCACTAGCTCAGGGGTAAAAATCCCTGAGAGACAGAGAAACAACAAACCCGTTTTCTTTGATGGAAAGCTGTTTGTCAAGGGATGTTGCCAACAGACAGCTGTAAAGATAAACTGTAAGGCTGAAGAACAACAAGACGACAGAGCAAGGAAACCAATCTGTAACGCTAGGTAACGAGGAATGCCCTTGTGGGGCTGCAGGGGACTTCACCAAGACTGCCTACCTGGAAGAAACACGCTCAGCAGAAACATGTGCAGAGATACAAAGCATGAGATATGTATGTGCTAAACTTGTCATCAAGATGGGAACGACTTTTATAGTATGTGTCAAAAACTAAACTCCCACTTAGTTAGAAACAGTACACAACTGACCTCTAGAGTTAAACTATAAACAAGAAGAAACAAAATATTGCACCCCAATTTCAGAGTCACCACCAGGACATTTCTTGCTTGAAGCCAGTAGATTAAGAAACACAGATCCATATATTTTTTCTGTTGCTTGATGCCAGTGCAGAATTGCTCAGCTGCAAGTGTTTAATACACCAGGTCACTGAATTCTCTGGGACTTGGAAACTGATCTCAGAAGCAGCATGCCCCTGGCCTTCCACCTCAAGTCCCTGAGCTGCTTGCTGGACATTAAAACAGCTCTACTGCTTCTACTTTTAATGAGCCGTACCCCAGCAGGGTCCCATGGCTGGCTACATGCTGCGACAAGGATCCCGACTACATCCTCTTCCTTAAGCCTACCCTCCATACAGAAGCTGCACCACTGAATTATGACACCATGCTGATTTTCCCTGCTATTTAACATGTAGGCAGGTCAAGCTAGCTAGATCAAACGTAAACTCACTCATCCTGTTCACTAATCTGAGCCCTCAGAATAGTGGAAGAAAATTGCAGTACTTCCAGGTTTTTTAAACACCCAAAGCACTAAGAAGCCTGTTCCGTCATAAAAGCAGATATCAAGCACCACAATAAGCAACGCTTGGAGAAAAGTGTGGCATAAATGGTGAAAGCAAGTCAAAGCAGACTTTGCTCTGATCTAAAGCTCTAATCCTAAAAGTGAATATAGGTTTCACAACCAGTATACTTCAGTCTATGATCAGCTACAGCTTTAGGACAATTAGCAAGTAAACAAGAGTTTTAAGAGCAACCTTTAGGTTCTGACCTAAAGATCTATAAACACCACTGTGGAGGGATGATCTCATTTGAAATCAGATTATCTTTAAACTAACCTGAAAGCAATCATCATGCTTATGCAAGACCCTCATGCTGGCCACACTTGCTCAAAAGCAGGGCAGGACTCTTAAAGAACAGATATTGAGAGCACGTGCCCTGTGCTATTTTAACATCAAATTTCTTTATGTTATTTATGTCACTTCCTTAAGAGGATAGTAGTTAAGCCAAGCCACCCCAGCCCCACTTCAGCCCAGCTGTGCTTAGTTTACCAGAATGGGAGCAGCAAGTTCAGAGCACTGCTGATGTGTTACTTTATCAAAAGGCCTTGGACACAGCTACTGAGGAAGAACACATCATCTTTCCCAGTAAGGCATTCTCCACTGTGGTTGTCCTGAGGAAGAGACACACATCAAACTGTCACAGCTTGATTTGCAATAGCTTTCCCTCTAAAAGAACATTGTATTAGGGCATTTGTTCCACATAGGGACAGGCGGTTTTATGGAAGGACTGCTGTTCCAATTCTCTAAAAGGACTCTCCAGACTTCAGGCTTTCGCCCTAGATTTAGGTCACTAGTAATTGGACATGTGGAAAATGCACAGGCTCAGTTCAGTGTGGCTTAATTAATTTCTTCGTCTGTGGATCTGGCAGTCATCCTACAAAACCGAACAGTTGGGTATTTAGACTTGCATTGAAGAATACATTAGGACAACAGCAAGCCTCCCAAAAATAAGCTCAACTCTTTGGGTACTAGTGAAATAAATATTTTCAATTGCCTGGAGTACAAAGTGAAATCAGTTTTAGTTGCTCAGGTGAGACCAGCAGCTTGGTTCATTAAAAAGGAATTATTTCTTTTATAGCATTCAGATTGGAAAAAAAGATCAAGCACAGCACAAACAGAAACCCAACGACTTTACAGAGACCTTCTCAACATGAAGCACAGAACTGACAGGTGCTGAAGTCTTGCAACCAGTGGAGCAGAATCAACTATAGCAACTTTCTGTCTGGGGCATTATATTCCTAAGCAACTGGTGAGTGCACTAACCACACATTAATGCCGCAGCTTGAAAAAAGAAAGAGTCCTGCATGTTATTTTGAGCTGTACCAGGCACCTTTCAGTATCATAACTGCTCTTGAAGCAGAATGTTCATGATGAAGAAAAGCGCATCCACTGAAGTAAGAATTCACATTCTTTCTGCTCCCAGAAGGCTTCCACCACAGCTTGTTAGTCAGCTTGCTTGGTGTTTTTTAAACCCTCCTTGAAGGACACAGAACAGCCCCACTCTGCTGAGTCCTGACCATCATGCCAAGCTTTCTGTTGGAGCTCACTTTGCTACCATCTATTTACTTCAGCACAGGTCCCAGGTGCTTTAGGTAGTTTTGGCTTAAGCCTGAACAGCAAATGAGGAGAGACAGCTGCCTCTCTGCAGGAACTCTTCTCACTGGTGACCCTGCAGGCTGAGTTGGCAGAGCTATCCAGACTGTATAAGAAGGCTGCTCTACAAAACAGCCTGATAAAACCCTATTCACATATTAACGGGAGTAAAATATTTACTTCAGATCAGGAAGGACTGTATTTTTTGATGAAGGAACAGGCTCTGTGCTTAAGCAGATAGTTTTATAGCATTTTAAAGCTGACCTAATATGCCTACCTTGGTTTAAAATAAAAAGGCAACCCGATTCCTTTCGCCAAGAAGTTAACTCTGCCAAGGAAAAGGGCCTGAAGACTGAAATAAACTCACTTTAACAGGACTGAAAGGGAACAGATCTTCTCTTCAAAAGCCTTGTATGCAGGGGCACTCGGGGTTGCTAAAGTAAAAACAGCATACAACAATATCTGCAAAAAAGCTTAATACAATCTTCTGAACCTATAAACTCTAAACAATATGAAAAGTGTCCATGGAACACCAGAGCAGCTGAATATTAAAACAAACAAGTACAAATTGGTAACACTTACCTACATTGCCAGTGATAAATTTGTCACTACTGTGCTACAACACAAGCTTAATATACAGGTTGTTTTTCCAAACAAAAACCACAGAACCAAGTTGATACAGAAGGTGAGGGAGAAGGGGAGACAAATAACAAGGCACAAAAACCTCTTTTGCTGCAACCCTGTAAGGCACCACTGTGCAAACGTGAAACCATCAAAACCTGTAGTGGAGAAATTCTAAATGTGTTTAAATGACTGGATAATGTATTTTAAAGATGACACTATGTTCATATCTTTGGGAATAAAAAGACTTAGGAACCTTTATTTACACTTATAGGCTTTTAAAAAACAAATTAGTGAAACGGGTGAACTAACACTCAAATACAGGAGTCACAGTTAACTTCTCCCAGACAGCTTCACAAGTGCAACTTGATCATGACCTGTACTGGCCTTGTTAATAGAGCCCTGGATCCAATATGGTGCAGAGGAAAGTGCTGCCAATTATGTCAAATTGTGCATGGCACACCAGTAATTTTAACAAAACAGACTTCAAAACAGACTTCGGGAATTAGGATAAGAACTTGTAACCAAAAATTATTTAAATCCAGAGATAAAAGGTCAGTAGCATTAATCTAACATCATACCTAGAGATCTTAATACCCAAAGTTATAATTTATACCTCTATTTAAGACCTGGACACCAGCACTTTTCTTCCCTATTCTGGTCTGCTCAGAAAATCCATCAGGTAACAAACTTCAGCAAAAACCTTCTCCCTTACTAGAAGGTTACAGATACATAATTAATTAAGCTTACAAACTGTACGTTTCCCCCCCCCTTTTTTTTTTCTTATGTCCCATCATCTCTACTGCATCCTGCTAGAAGAAGTTTTTGTCCTCTCTCCAACTCCATAAAAGTCTCCAGACTGTACTGAAATTACTTATAATATGCACAGGTTGGACAAGTCTTTACAAGATGAGAAGGGTGTTTCACTAAAAACTAAAATTTTCTTCTACTGAAAGATTTAGGAGGCACTCAGTTTCTCATGAGCTTTGGACACATGGATGACTTTTTTTTGTACTTGGGAACAATGTCAGTAGACTATACTTCCAAAACTTCCGCTTCCATTCCTGCAACTTGAATGACTGCACAGCACACAGTCAATCGGAATAAACCTGACAATTCAGTTACTGGCTAAGGTTTGTTTTTTTACATGACACGTTTTACTCTTTTTACTCTACACTTAAAATACCTTGCCACAAATTAAAACATTTAAGGTCAGACACAACCTGTAGCTTCAATGATGCTCAATCTACTGAGCTGCCAGAGAAGAAAATCAGGCCAATCTCTATAATTTTAAACAACAGAGGAACTGGAAGAAAAAAGTCTTCAGTGATAAGTTAACTTTCAGGTAGCAATTTGCCAAAAGGCTGCGCCAGCTTAGGCATGCTTCATTTCTTTTATTCAGTCCTGTTTTAAGGAAGTAACAGTTTGAGCAAATACAATGTAAACAGAGCCAGGTAAACTGCAATAGTAAAGGACAACAATCTCATTGATCTGACAGGTTTAAGGCCAACTATTTGTGATTTGAAACATATCATAATTTTCCATGGCACTTAATACACTCACACTTAGTACTGGGTGGCATTAAACATGGGTATACATATTCATATCATATGCGATATATACATGTAGCTTCAGTTCCTAAAATAGAAAGTTCAAGTTTTCTTGCCCAAATAAAATCAATCTGTGAAAGATCACCTGTGTTTTCCTATACTGAATAAAGTAATATTACTGTTTTAATCAATTTAGTGCAAACTGACTTAAGTCCAAAGACATACCATTCCTTGATTTTTAGTCACCACTTACCAAATGCCCCTATTTCTTTTAAAACACAACTACACTTTTTTTTTCTTAAAAGAACAGCAAACACTTGACAACTAGCATGCTGTTCTAGTCTACGTTAACAAAACTTGCCGATATACAAGTCATGTTTTGGTCATGCAGCACAGAGCCATCCTCAAAATAATCCATCTCTTCATTCAATCAGTCTAGAAGAGGAGCACAGTGCTGGATTTTAATTAGCAGGTCATCCTGGCCACTCCGTACTCCAAGCTGACTACGGCAGGCTCAGCTTTCGAGAACTCTGCCACAAATTCACTGTAGCGATTGTCTGCTGTGTTGCTGCCCTCTATAGTTCTTACAGCATCATTCACAGGGATCAGTGGCTGCTCCTTCTGGAAGGATGGAGGGGTCTTCAGTGCCATTGGTGCAGGATGAGCAGACTGCTGATGTTCCTTCACAGGGACTGCACTTGACTGCCCATTTCTCTGCTTTATTTTCTGAAACATAAAGAACAGTTACTAACAGAGAGCATGACTGCTTTGCTGATAATATTCTCCTTTGAAAGGAAGTGAATCCACTTCTTTTGCTGGCCAGCTCAGCATCTGCAGAACCCTGTATTACTTACCCCAGGTTAGATATGTAACAGTATTATTAAATATTAGGCCATTGGAGAAGACATTTTCCCCCAGTTTACAGCAGACGCTACAAGCACTGTATGCTTAGAATTTGCAGCTGAGCAGAAGGCAGACAGGTTGCCTGTCAATGTCCATAGAGGAAAGGTTCTTCTAGGCTTGCCCCTTGTTTGGTTACTATTGAGATGGGAACACTTCCTACAGTACAGGCAGAGGAAGACAGGCCTTGGTACTATCAGCAAGCAGGGAGCTTGCAGCATACCATGAGTCCCTTAAAGACAAAGAGCAGTTTCATACCTAAGCCCTTATGTCCTTCCCAAAAACCTTCTAAAAGACTTTTCCTTTAGATTTGAAAAATGCCAATACAGTTTGTTCAAATGCAGGATTATACTAAAAGATGTCAACTAGAAAGCAGGACTGGAGAGAGGGACCTATTAACCTGCAAGCATTCAGTAACAAAAGAGGAAAGATTTGGATTAACGGTTGGGGTTTTTGGTTTTTTATAAATTTAAACAACCTCACCCAGTAACTGGGATCTTAATCTAGTTAACTGAACTGAATTTTTTGTTGATGTGTTTGTGCTTTATTAGAACTAAGACTGAGAGCAGAAGACTTTGGTGTTTCTTGACACCAACTTTTTGAAGACGGAAACAGCAGTAGGAAGGTCTACATCAAGATTTCAAACGACTGCATCTCTTCATCACTCAAGTGAGAAATGTGGGCTCAGGTGAAGTTAACACATTGGAACAAGGTTCTAGAAAATTCAAAAATGAAACTTCACTTTATGTCTTGCTTATTATTCCTCATCTTGCTTCATCTTGAGTTCTCATTTTGCTGCTTCAATTATAGAAAAAATTTTAAATATGCAATTAAGATTTGAAACAGTTTAAGTGACCTGCATTAATTACAGTAGGATCAGTTCATGAAAATCTTTCCTCCTAGAAAAGCTGTACTCCCCTCCTCCCCCCCTCCCCGATCACCACATAGAGGAGTTGTGTTACCATTTCTAGCCACACAAAGTAGTAAAACTGATAGTTAGAAAACTTGTGCATTTCTTAAAAGGTATTAGTCTGAAGTTTCAGCACCTTAACTGACTGTAATAAAGCATCAATTAAAAGCCGCTGATCAAGTCATACTAGAATCAAGTGAGATACACCGTTCAGCCTTTCCTGGCTGTTTACTCTAGCCCTAGTAGAAGTCACTTGCAGAAATCTGATCTCTGGATTTAGCCCTGTCTTCAAATAAGCATGACGGTATATACCCCATCGTTATGGTGACTTACAACAGCATGCACCTGTATATGAAGTTAAAAGAAGGACAATACTTACTGTTTCCATTTTAGTAGCTCTAATGGAAATAAAAGATTTTGAGACTCCTTGGACTAGCAACACAGCTGTAGCTATGATGGGTACCTTGTTATCCAAGATAAGTTTCACATAAATCTAATCTACAGTAAGCCATCTTCAGTAATGCTGTGATAGTAGGAGCACTTCTACATAATACAGTCCATCAGTAAAGCAAAATAAATTGTGCCTAAGAGCAAAACATTGGCTGTATAGTCTGGCATTCAGCACAGAAGCACACAGTAAAAGTCAAAGTCAACATTACATAGAATAAGTGCTAGGCCATACAGCAGTGACATTCATGGGAAGGCTGGCAGCATTACTGCAGACTATAAATGTGAATTGGAGGAACAAGTCACAAGTACAGACACTTATTTTGTAATACTTACAGCTTCCAGTTCTTTAATGTCTTCTTCCAGTTGTTTGTTTTGTTCACTCATGTTCATTATAAGATTGAACACACATTGCCTGGGATGCATACTTCGATCAAACTGATGGTACATATTTCTCCAAAACCTGCAGGAAGCAGACAGTTTTAACTACGCAGGATAAAGACAAAATTGAAGAAGAGATACTGTATATAATTTAAACTTACTTAAAATTGAATGATACTGTATTAGGCTCCAAAAGAGTTAGTTCTGGAGAAAAGTCTGCATTATACAGAGGATTCTGATATTTCTTTCGTTCATCCAGAAGGAATGGCCACAAGGAATATGTCTTCTCTTTTAATCTTAAAGCAAGAAGAGATCAGGGTCAACACTGACTGCAAGCAAAAAACAGAAGCTGCTCAACTCAACATAATAAATCGACCTGAACATTTTTTAAAAAGTTACCAGAAATACTTATAAATCTTGAATTAAAAGCTCTTCATAAAACTAATTTCTTCCTGCCATAAGCTAATGTTGGACAGGACTATCAGTTTTAGAAGTACTACTGCTTATGCTGGGCAAGTTTTGCCTAGTTGCAGTAAATGCTTTCAAAATACAGTTGGAGACAAAGATGAATGGAGGAAAACTTTACATATGTTTTCCAGCTGAAAGCATTAGCAAACATCCTATTAATACTTCTAACTGACAGCAATTAGTCTTGAGAAGGCAAGAATTTTAAGGTTACCTAAAAATAGACTGGGGGAGGGAATAGAGTGATACTTCCAAACTTAAGCTTACCTATTCTTAGGGAGGGGAAGAAAAAAACCAAAAAACAAAACAAAAAAAACCCAAACCACACAAAATAGAAGGATAAAGAAACCTTAACTTTCCCTATGAAAAATGAGCATGGGATTTTCTCCCACAATTAGAAAGACTGTCTTCAGTGTGCAAAAGCACAAGCAGCACTGCTGTCCCCTGATGCAGTGCAACATCATTTTCAGTACTACCAATCCTGTCTCTGTTTCTATTCAGACCCTAAAGTGAAGAATATTCATAGGAGTCCTTAGTCTGCCAGAATAAACAAAGGACACATTACAATGTCTGCTTACTTCAGTTCTTCTCGCTCTTTTTGGCAGTTTCCAAGGAAGTTACCAAATTGGCATGAATGGACATGTTCATGGATCTGAAGGAGGAAAGCTTCATTGTACTCAAAGGCTTGAGGAAACTGCTCAGTCAGATTCCACACGCTTTCTAAAAACTGGGTGAAGACTGGCGAGATCTCCTTTGGATCACCATCCAACTGACAACACCTAAAAAAGATTCCATAAACAGATTGAAACTGGTTTAAGTTAAAAAATCAAAAAAGTCTTAGTTGCACTTGTTTTTAAAGGACAGCACATTAATTTGACCCTAGCTTTGGTTTGAAGATTAAACACCTAACTATGAGAACCCAGGCAATTTTTTTTTTTTTAATAGAAATCAGTCTGTATTTGACCTATTTTTCTGACTTGTAAGTAATCACATATCTGTATTCAGTACAGAAGAGCAACATAAGACAGTTAAGTCCCTTTGTGTCCATTACTTCCATAGTCAACATTTGGAGTATACCAGCTAAAAGCAAATTAATAAGCAGTAAATAGCAGCAAGGCTATTTTCATCACTGCTGACAGGCAGATCAAGGGAAAACAGAATTCTTAACATACAGGCCTTCTAAAGGTAGGTGTGACTTCATCATTAAAAGTAAACATAAATGCAAACTCATCTTTAAAGATTTCAAAACTAAGTGGTTTATATTGCCCAAAGAGCCGGGACGTGGCTTTAGATTGGTTTTGCACTGTCTATGCATCCATGTAGATCTAGCCACAGTTATTGACATCCGAGAGTGAGGCACGAAGAGCACTAAAAATTTATGTCTATAATATAAATCAATTATCCAATAGGTATGTATTCAAATAGCCATACACAAAGCGCATTGTTTACTGAAAATAGCTGACTCATCGCAAAACTTCTAACAACACTGCAGTAGTTTAACAGCTACAAGTTAGCTATTCTTTTTAAGAATACTTAATTCAGTTCACTGTATCCATTTTACTGTATTGGAAGAATGAACTACCTGTCAGAGAACTTGTGCCCAAAAGAGATCCAGTCTTTCTCTATTAAGACCTAGAGGGTAAAAACAAACAAAGTCTCATGTAAAATGTTACCCAACCTTACCTCTGTAGTATTAACCCCACCGATTATCGATATATTGTATTTTAAATGCAAGTCAAACTACAGTAGGAGCAACTATTTATCACTTTGTATTTCCTTTATTTTCTTGGAAGTCTTTCACAGGAGATTCTCAAAGCACATTTCTAAAACTAGTAAAAAAACTTTAGCTTGTTGACAATCAGATAACTGCTGTTAAGCCAGGCTCACTTTAAGCAAACTAATATTGTATGACTGAAGAAACAGATTGTCAACCAACTTGCAAAAAACCTGCAAAGTACAGGAAAAATTAATATTGCATTCCTGCTATCATAGTTTATGTAAAACCACACAAGATAATCTTTGTAAGACTTCATAGCAGTAAGCTTGTTAATATCAATACTAGTTTGTTTTATCACTTCAGTCACAGTATCAAGCACCAAAAGGAACACAGGACTGCCTGCCCATTGCAGAAGTTTCCCCAGAAATCTAACTTTAGACAGTGAGGACTAAAAACCAAAAAGGTGAAATTACTTCCCTAAAGATGACACACGACCTCTCATTGTTTATTAGAAATGAATCCTCTTCTAATTCCTCCTCAACTTCACTTTAGTTGCTTGTAATATTTGTGGCAGTTCGTTCTAACCAATACATAGGACTAAGTTTAGGTACTATCTTTCAGGAGTTCCTACAGCACCTCGTATTGCCACTGCAGAACACGGTTCATCTTCCTACTCCAGAATTTGGAATAATCATACCAAAATTCCTCCCCCTCCCTAGAAAGATGAGGACATTTAGATTGCTTCAATATCTTCAGGTCTCTGTCACTGGGGGAGTAATCATTTTTAGATTTTAATAAGGTTGATTTTGAGACAAGTGATAAAAGCAAAGAGCTCCTATGATTTTGTTCATCTGCTGTCTCACAGAAGCACTCTGGAAGCATAGGTAAGGGGCTGTTTTGGATGCAAAAGGAAATAATTGCAACATTTCTACAGGGTACCTAAAGCAATCCAGTGGGTTTATTTCAGTTTTTTAGATTTTAAATAAATGGTTCTTCACAATAGCAAAGTATTTTTAAAAGAAAGATCGATCAGTATACTGCAAATCTTAATACTTGTAACTACAAAAAACAAGCCTCAGTATGTTTACCTGCTCACTTTCTCACTCAAACGTTTCACATCCTTTATTTACCAAGGAACAACTCAAGAATGCAACAGCTAGCTTACCATGAATCCTTTGATTGTTCTGTAATAGGAATCTAGTAAGAGAGCTCCAAGTGAACAAACTTGGGAAGTCCTATCCCAGCCATCTGAGCAGTGCACTAATACGCTCGCGCTCTCAACTGCTATTGCCTGTGAAACAGAGGTGTTTCTTCATGAATGTTTAATTCTAGACAGAAGTCAAAATTTAGTAGATAAATTAAAAAAAAGCTACATTTACCCCAAACTCACAGCATAGCCCACTTTATTTCACAAAGCCAGAAAAATGTTTATGAGGAAAGGATTTGATCCTATTGAAAAGCTAAGAGCTTCTCTCCATGGAAGTAGAGAAAATTCCTTATAAAGAAAAGAAATTCCACTACCACTTTGGCACAAGGTAACAAGAACATCTACGATGCTTCCCAGGTCTCCTCCCATCCCTTATGAAACTAAGCTTGTAAAAACCCCTTGCAATGCCTACTATGAAGAATTAGACTACACATTACAGACCAAACAGGTTAAAAAATAAACCAACACAAACACACCACCAAAAATACCCACATGTTCATCATTATAGTACACAAAAGTTAAGGACTAGGAAATGCTTATTAGCTTCGGCTAAGAATTCAAATCCTGTTACTCCAATTGTTTTTGAGGGTCATCTTCAGGAGAATCATCCACTTTTAACTCAAGTTAACTCCTTGTTATTTCACCTAGTAAAAACAAAGATGCAGGGTTTTTTCTTCACCCAGCTCCCCTCAGGTCAAGCCCTTGGCCTCACAGGTGCCTGGCAAAGGCAGCTGCTGCTCTGAATTCTTCATAAACAGTCCCATTTCCTTGCCAGATGAAGTCAGCATAGCCACAGTTTGGCTTTGCTGCAATTAGTGCCCCAGGAGTTGTGTTCTCCAGGGTACACTAAATAATAGTTTGCTCCATCCACCTCCGAACTGGCTACACTTTTCATAAATCCCTAAAAGAACCAAGGAATCCCTTAATCTCCCAGTAAGGTAACCAAAGAGCATCCAAAAAATCCCAAAACATTAGCTGGCATGTTTAACATCTCCAGTCATCAGAAACACATAATACTTAAAACAGCATATCAGAAGCATCAGTGTATACTAAGCATCTCCTTCCAAAAACATCAATTGCAGAATTTTACACCTTACATAATATTAAGTGTAATTCTGCCTGGTAGCAAACGAACTTGCCATCAAACAAAACAGCAGCATACAAGTTACCTTGACTAAGAAGACAGCAGCATCCAACACAGCTTTGATATGACGCAACCATCCGGAATTCTCCAAGCCAGACAAAAAGTCATTGACAGACAAACCCTTCGTGCCACTGACTGAAAGAAACCAAGCGTTAGAAAGCTTTAAGCAGTTGCAGCTACCTATAGCCTGCAATGGAGAAAGAAGAAGAATTGTATATTGTTTCTAATGCTTTATGCTCTAAGTTGATTAGAACCCTTTCAGGAAATCACCACTGAAGTGGTTGTGAGAGGGGTACTACCAAGTGTCCTGCATCCAAAATTCAACTCTGTAGAACTACAGTAATCATGCATGACAAGAGTAAGATCTTTGTCTTTTTGACAAAGTAACATTCAAAGTAAATACACTAGTTATCTATCCCCAAGAGGGAGCCTTACCGAGGAGGGCAATGCAAGTGCCAAAAGCTTACCAGAAATACTTCAAAATTACAACTACCAGTAGGAAGTAGCTGCATCCAGACACAGTTCAGAGTAGTCAGACTGCCAGAGTTTCATCACCTTCACTATGCTGCTTAGGAGAATAAAGTGAGTGCAGTACAAGGACATGGTGATGAACTGAAAGCCATCGACATTTTGTCTACCTCCAGAATTGACATACTCCAGTTCTGACTCTGATCTCTACCATTCTTCCCTAGTACACTTTGATCCTGTAACAGTAACACTGATTGAGAGGGCAGGGAAGAACTCAAGTTAAACGAAGGCTGCCTTGCAGCTTAACAGCAAGAGGTGTAGAGGTAGACTGAAAGTTTCTCACGCAGACGCTTATCAATTCACAAGTGAGACAGATAACCTGGTTCTTGTATGATTTGGAGTAGCAACTCACACAGTTACTTTAATGTCCAAACAGGACAAACTTCTGGCAATTAAAAAAAAAGAAAGAAGTATTCACTGGCTGATAGAGCTTCAGCTATGTGGGATTCTGAGAGAGGATACCCAAGGAGGTTGCCATCTACAGAAATACCACCCCCTGCCACAGTAGAAGCCTACTTTCTACCCAGCTAGTGGGCCCCAAATGAAAATAAAAAGGCTCTGTAGCTGAAAACTATCAGTGGGGATCTTCCTACAGCAGTTGCAAAAGAATCTTTTTCTCCGACTATGGGAGGAAGTGACTCAGTGGGGAAAACAGACAACAAAATTCACCAAGCCATTCTGTGACAGTTTCATGTTCAATCAAGTCCCCTGATGTAACAAAGGCTATGAACTCTTAAACCACTGCCTCACAGAGCTTTCCTATATCTGCACTACATGTTTCTCAGCTTTCAGCCATACAAGTGTTGGTTTATTCCCCATGGCTCAGGAAGAGTCATAATGGCAGTTGCTGCTGAATGCTATAACAAAGACAGGCTTACCAATAAGTGTCACAGCATCTTTTCTAAAGCCTGCAGATCTTTGTCATTTAGAAAAAGAGCTAGAACACCATAGCACAATGAAGTAACAAAACGTCAAGAAACCCCTGGATACAAGACCTAATTTTAAAGGTTAGTCTCTAAATATCAGTAAAAGCAGCAAAAGCTATGCTAGCTTTCCCTGGTCTTTGAAAGGGATAGCACTGTTAGGCAAGAGTTCTGCTTCTGAAAGGTCTACCACATGGAGGAAATCAGCTGAGAACTACTTAATCCTTTCAGCTAGCTCACAACTCCCTCTACACCAGTGGTTCCATACACCTCTTCAATCACAACAGTACACAAACAGGTCCACCACTGTACAGTAACGGAAAGAAACTAAAAATATTCCAATTTCTCTAAAGTCAAACATCTGCAGGGAAGGGGTTGGACAGACAAGGCAATGTCTAAAGGTACTATTCATGGCTGCTTACCCCTACATTCTGTGGCTTATCATTTAAAGCACAAACTTTCAGCTAGAAAATTAACAGGCTTCCAGCCCTCAGTTTGCTTTCACCCAGATACTGCTGTCAAAATCTGCTTTTGATCAGAATTTTCAGCTTGGTAGAAATATTTCACCATTGGTATTTCCCTGTTCTAGCTAGATTTCTATATTTTTATTAACCAAGGCAGAGATAAGAACACATACATTGAACCCAGAGAGTTACTTTCCATTTCTGTGAACGAGGACAAACATTTTTATGCTATTTAGTAATGAAATAAAGAAATTGCATTGACACTGCTTTAACACTTATTTTTTTAGCATATGATTTCTAGCCCCTTATGGTTCCTAAAAGGGTAAAAAATGATTTATGGTAACACTAAGGTGTTTAGCTACTTCACAATGGCTATCATTCAAGATAGTTTTGGCTATATGGATCCCATCATAAACACATGCCCTGCATGCATGCGAGCCCCAAAACCTCAACATTCCAGTGCTTGATTGTCCTTATACACACTACTAGCAATGCATCAGGCAGCAGTTCAAGAGGAGACTAGAACCTGCAGACTGAAGCACAGTGGGTTGGGGGCAGAGGTTGCTTTTAACGACTAAACAAACCCACCCAAACAACCCCATCTCCCATACACACAGCCCACATAACCCACAAAAAACCCCTCTTAGTTAAGACACTTCCATCATCAAAATATATGCAGCAGACCACAGCAGCCATTATTGAGCCTTTTCTTCAAATACTTTCTGCAGAAATGCTGTTTCCTGACATATGCAAAACCTTTTTGCTTATCAGAGTTCAATCTTTCCTGACATGTAGTACTATATTTTTGAATATATAAAAAGTGGACTTTATACTTAATGCTACAACCACAAATTTAGTCTATGTTAAGATTCTTCCATTAGTGTTGGATAGGTGGGCAGTCTGCCCATCGGGGGAGCAGAGTCATGTCCACACTGAAGAAAACTATTTTGGAAGAGTTTTGTTTCACTGCATACAAGATAGTTAAAAAACCAGCTGAATCCGAGATGAAGAATAGACAGTAAATCTTCCTAGCATGCTCCATGGTGTAGTCCTACCACAAAAGGATGTTGGGAAGGATTATGTCTTGCATTCTGCTTGCAAATGGAATCATTAGATTCTGAAGGACATCAGAAAGGCAGACCAACAGTCTCCTAGCAGTACATGTGCCAAAGAATGAACAACAGTTGTTCGTTATAAATAAAACTGAGGACAGTCCCAGTTACAATCGCTCTTGAAAGAACAGGGTCATTGGTATCACATCCCTGATTTGAGAACATTCATTTCAGCACATCCAGGGGAAGCTGGTACACAGAAGTTAAATGTATTTTTCCTCATTTTAAGCTGTGAGCCATTTTCATAGCATTTCCTTCCTGATCACCCCACTCAGGGCATTTCTACAGGGGTCTGAAGAGTAATTTATTGCATACCTCCCTAAATTTTAAGGGTCCTTCCTACCCCTAAAGATGCTTCTACTTCTAGACTGGCATTCAGCAAAACTCTAGTAAATTATACAGACTCAAAGATAGAACAACTGTGTTCATTTACCCCAAAACCTGATCTAGAGAACAGGTACAGACATTAATCATGATTATGTTTCAATCAAATTTAAATAAACCAATCCTCCACACAAGGAAAAACTAAAACATATTCCATCCTTAATGAAAGCTACAGAAAGATACTTGGTAAGCACTGTTGGTAGGATGCTAAGTGAAATGGAAGGAACATGAAGTCTGAAGTTTAACTGCGTGATACACCCATTTCTGCATCAGACATTATTACACAGGAGGAGGCCTCTTTAAATTAAAAAAATATCAAGATTTATTAACTAGTTTTCTGGAACTGAAGAAGATATTAGCAAAAGAAAGAGGGATTATCCTAAACTTAAAAACTGAAGTTCAGGCTCACCCTGCTCATCTTTCCCTTCAACAAAGTACATGCATGAATAACCACAAAAATACATAGTATCAAAGCTCAGTAGTATTCCATACAGAGTGCCTGAAGAATAGGTTAGTAGCAGATACAGGCTCAGTTAGAGTGGAGCAAGACTACACCACTAGTCTGTAAGATTTCTTGACCAATGTAGCTAGAATGTCTTCATCAAAATAGGCTTTCATACAAGTGTAAACCTTCCCCATGACCAGAAATATTTGTGTAATTCTACAAGGCAAGCACCTATATATGTATCGTTTGTCAGTGGCAGAAGTCAGGCTTCCACACCTGTACTCTAATCTCGGTATTAACACTCCACAAAGTGTCTTAGATTTGCTTTCACCTGTCTACTTAAATAAAATATTAACAGAACTATTTAATAGACTTCTGCCTCTCCATTTTCACCACCAGGCAGCAGGCAGTGGTATGGCAAAGTGCTTCACTTTTCCCCCTGCCCTCCTCTCTACAAGCACTCTAAGATGTACCTACAAGCACAGAAGTGGCTCACCAGCCCAAAGAGTTCAAGTTTTGTACAGACCATATGCTCATTGTGAATTCTGTGGTACTAAGTGCTCCTTGAAGAATCGGTATTCTATATATGAAAATGTATGCACAGATGCACACTATTTTGTGCATTTGTTACACATGTGTGTATACATGCATGTACACTTAGAAAACACAGAAGTCTTTCCCACAAGCCATTGACTTACTAATCAAGATCACCCAAGACATACGTGCTACTCAATTTTTTTCAAAGTAACTCCATTCATTGGGTTTACAGTTTAAAGTTAAAGGTTTAAGGTAACTCGTTACCACAGAGCACAGCAAACTGGTACTAAACAGAGCTGGGATAAAATATAGAAATATCAATACAGTTTAAGCTATCATTAAAGACTTCAGAAGAATATTTTCAAATATGCTACTATAGTACAATTAGAACATACCTTCCAGAAGTTTTTGTAAGCTGGATCTCATTACGTGAATATTTTCAATGCCAACAAACTGGAACCTAATGTTAGAGTAGTTGTCTTCATTCTCATAGCCCTTCCCAGCAGCTCTGTTTGCCATTGCATTAAGCTTAAAAAAGCAAAATAAAGATACTGAAAACCAGTACTTCAAATAAAAATCTCAAATAAAGGAAAAAAAGAAAAAAAGTCATGCAATTTCAATGGAATACTCTGGGGAAAAAAACAATACTCAAGAGCACACACTACAAACAGATTCTAATAAATTAACAGTTAATGGCAAATCAGCTTGAAGGCATTCCAGTGTAAGAAATGCATGGTACATAAAAAGTAACATATTTAGAGCTGACATATCTGAATAATGCATTTAATTTAATAACTTCCTATTCTCTCCTCCATATTCCAACCAACACACCTTTACTTATTTCCAAACATTTCTGAGCAAAGATGCTACAAAGCAATTAACCTAAAAAGGAAAGAGTAAGACTCAGACTTAACCATACATGCACTTTCAAGGCAGCCTAAAAGTGTCAGGTTTGGGGGTGAGAAGCTAATAAATTGCTGCAGCTATAAAAATCACAACTACAAAAACCCCACAGTTGGCTCAGTTGCAGTCTGTCAGGCTGACCTACTACTGAACCCTGCTCAAAATAAGTGCAGATCCTACAGTGTAGGTTTTTCACTTTACATCCTTGTTTTCCAGCTCCTGTGTTCAGAGATTTGAGTGAAATCAATACCAACTTAAATGCAGATGGTGTAAAGAGTGAAAGTTACCCCACACACTCCAACACAGGTCAAAACCCCAACATAATTCAATTTAATTAGACAGTGACGAAGTATGACCTCAGAATGCTACAACATGATTCACCCTATTTCTTCCTGGTTAAGACAGATGGCAATAGCAGTTTTCACAGAATATTTACATAGAACACAGTACTCCCTCCCATTTAAAAAAAAAAAACCACAAACAACGAAAACAGCTCCCCACGTCATTAATTTAATTTCAAACAGCTACAATGACTTGGATCCCACTCAACTATTCACTTAACTATACTTTAAAATGCACCTCCCCAAAAGTTCACTAGCATATTCAGTGAATTCTAGCCAAGTCCTGAGAGGGTTTCAACTTCTTTAAGAAAGCAAGTAATTAAACACCTGAATACAGAGGCCTAACCTTACCTTTCAAGAACATTTTGGCCAGGATAGAGTCAACTGAATTTTTCAGAATTACACTGTATCCCTGTAATCTCATGGTCAGGAAAAGAAGATAGTCTGTAGAACCTGAAGTACATACCTTCGGCCTGGTGTCCATGACATACATGTAGCGATTTGAAGGATTTGCTTTACTGATGGCTTGTAACATGTGTTCATCTTCCAGGCACCTAGCACTGAAACCTGAAAGAGGTTGACTGCATCTGCAAATTGCAGCCTACCATAGAAAACAAAGAATAAGTTAGCATCGGTTTAATACCTGTAGTTGCAATGCTTTGCATAATTCTAAGACACTGAAACAAATTGTTTCATTTAGCAGATAACAGCACAAAACTGAAGAAAGTTTAGGTGTTCCAACTTCTTAAGCACATCCCTTGCAGACCTTCAAGCACAGTACCTACAACTTAAATCTAAAGGTTTATCAAAACATTTTGTCAGACTCATCTATATGGGCAAGATACCAGTTTACATAATGGACTTTCCCCAAGCATAAGCTCCAAAAAAGTACAGGCTGGAAAGAATACACTTTAGGAAAGCAAGTTACTCTCCTGGTATGAAATGAATTATGGTTAGTTTTACTACTGCATGTAAAATTTTATTATTGCGAGTACAATATATTATCATCTGACAGAATATATCATTGAAAATTACATTTCAGAAGGTATCAGGTGCATCTTCCAAATAGTAATTATCTTCAAATGCATCTAGTAGCTTAACACTCATCTTCCATAAATCCTTCAACTCAGCAAGGTGACAATCCTTCTCTCCCTTCCAAGATACCCCCTAGCCAAGATACAGATGCTGCTTCACACCACTCTCTAACAAACCCTGCCAGTTCTTATTTCTCATCCTCTAGTTCTTTTTACCTTGCAAACTCCTCCTTAAAGAACCAGTTCTATTCTCTTGGTGTGTTTTTTTGCAAACTGCATTTTGACCTAACAGATTTTATTCTTGATGTATCAAGGAACACAGTTCACTTGACAAAAAGCCATCTTCAGTTATCTTAAGGTCAGTTTCTGAAAGCTTTAAGAGATTCAACTCATTATCAACTGATAACTTAAGGATTTCTTTTAAACTGGCTTAGCTTAAATCAGCATCTTGTTAGACACCACTAGTGTCAGCTGTATTTAAGGTTATCATGGGTTATGCCATTCTCATACAAGACACTGTACTTACCTCCTTACCTACCCTGAACTACTGCTAAGTGTTGAGAAATAATTTTCAGTACATTTGCATTAAGAGGAAGACACACTATACCTCTTTATTTTTGTGATAATATGACAACACTGGGAATCTTCCTTTGCTTCTGAACTTGGAGCTACCAACAATTATGGGCTTGCTTGCAGTTCTGGGAACATAAAGTTCTCTAGGATAAGTTTCACAAATCTGAAAGACAGAGATACACAAGAATTTTATGTATAAAGCACAAAGCCTATACTAGTTTTATGGCATCCAGTTTGAGAGATGTTAGGTGAAATAAGAGAAAGGATAAATGTTAACATGTTTCTCTATATACACATAAATAGCTCAGAAGAGGAGAAAAGCCATGGATAAAGAAGTACAAACTGGTGTCCAAGCACTGCTATGCTAGCATTCACATCTCAAGAATGTGACTCTTCAGTAGAAATGCTCAGAATGCATTTCAAATAAAATATTGAAATTATTCCCCTCATTTTTTGTATTTACAGACTACAAAGCAAGATGAAATCTAATCTGGGAATCAGCTGCACCACCACAGCCATTGTGTCCCACAGTCAACATTGCAAATGCTGAAGTAGAATCTTTCTCAGTTAAGAGAGATAACAAAGCTGAAAAGCAAACAGAATTGCTGGAGCTGGGCTTCAAACAGGTCAGTATACTGTAGAAACAATCCCAAAGAACACATACATCCATGCGCACACTCTCTCAATGAGGCCTTGGAAGAAAACTTCAATTAGAAAGTTGTGAGATTGCACGCTGATTAAGGAGTTAACCCTTCCCGCCTGCAAGTTTTTGCTTATGCTGCAAGCCAAGTGGTTTCATAGTATTAGACTGTTCTATAGGACTAGAGTCAGAGGATAAAGCAGAAACAGATGCAGAGCAAAACATGCTTCCATTGCAACACTCACCTTATAATCACGATTTGCATCGGACAACTGCCAGTTAGCATTTGGCACTCCCATTCTCTCATATTCTTCTGCTAGATCAATAAGCTGCCAACCTTTGACTTGCTCAGATTCATTTTGTTTTGGATTATAGGAGAAGGCATACAGTTCCTCATATTTCGCTAAAAAGTAAAGAATAAGACTACGTAATGAGTTGTCCCCAAAAATGTCTGAGTAGAGAAAGATAGCACAGTTGAAATTGCCCGAATTATACAGAAAGTTTCAGGCTTCAAGGTTTTCAGAAGCAAGACTAAATAGATACTTGACAGTCTTGTAATATTTATTCTGCAGCTATCATACAGTTAACTGACAATTATAGATACTTAGTTAAAGGTAGGTTATGAGAGCTTTCTTGAGTGTGCTTAACCTGTTTCAGCAGGGACATTTCTAAATCCATAAGGGCAAAGCAGAGATCACAAAATGAAGACCGAAAATTAAACAAGGCAAAAGGCAGAATTATTAGAAGACTTCATAAGAGCTAAAAGAACAAACAATTTTTGGAGGTAAGAACATAATTTTACATCTACTGACCTTTAAAAGCAGTAAGTGTTAAAGCTTCCTTTAAAGCAAAAAAGCTTTCAAAATGTTTTATGTTTTTCCTAATACACTATTCACATATCACAGATGACAACATTTTACATCATTCTAAACACAAAGCAGAAAACGCAAGAGACTATACTAGGTGACAGCAGTCTCTTGTAAAGCTGAATTGGTAGTGCTATTTAGCATCAAAACTTCAGCTTTATTTTTGAAACTGCATGAAATCAGTAACAAGTTAGTATTTGCTTAGTAGCATTTTATCTATAGAACATACCAATTAAGAGAGACTACATGCATTTATATTCACAATTTCAGGCATAACACTAGAAATGCAAAAACACCCAGGAATCTCACATTCTGTTAGTCAATATCAATAACCTACAGAAGCCAGACAACACATCTTCTGAATTTGTAAGCAGATTAATACTTAATCATTAACATTCATAATGCACCTTTTAAAAAAAATAAAAGCTATGGATTTTTTTTTTTTCCCCCCCCCCCCCCCCCCCCCCCGCCCTTAATCCAGGCATATACTGCAAAGTCTTTTACAGTTAGAAGTATTACCTGTTCTTGACAGCTGAAGTAAAGAGTTATAAATGTCATGACAATCTCTCTCTCTGGGAACAACAAAGTGAACTATCCTGAAATTCTTGCACTGGATGACAAGGGGGCAGCCAGAAGTAGTCAAGGGAAGTTTTTCCACCGCAGCAATGTGGTGATGTAGTATCTGTGGCACACAAGAACTCACAGCATAAGTACACTGATGAAAAAATGAGAACTGCATGCTATTTACAAGAGCAGATATAAAACATTAAGTGATGCTGAATACAGATTTTGACTAATTTTGTCAATCATTGAGTTAGAAATAAATCTAGAAGAAGAAATTTAAGACTAGCATTTTGGTCAGGATACCATAATTTGTCAAAATTTAATTATTCTCTTCCCTCATATTTTGAAGTGTTAACTAATGTTTGTAAGGAACAGTAAATATCCTTCTAAATGCAAAAGCAATAAGTAAAACTCCACTGCGGTTGTTCAGTCCTCTTTTATAACTTTGCTAACTGACAGGCATACATCTAATTAGGCAGGATCCAAACAGGATTTATTTTTAAGGATCTACAGGAACATACTTCAGAATTTTCAGACAAAATAAAGCACGTCAGAGAAAGCAACTCAATCTATAAGAGATACAGAAGACGCTGAAGATCTTAGAATTCTAGTATTTAACACATACAGAATGAACAAGAGGTAAGAAAAACATCTCCTGTATTACCCACTGTGTTATGTAGCCATGACAGTCTCTCAGCTAAATGCCTTTCAACCACTTTAACAGAAGACTGTCACAGTAATGAATATACAAAAGCTGTCCATAGTTTTATCTGTGTGGCAAATCTACACAAAGTTTAGGAAAATACATGGTAAAGTAACAGCTGTTCAACCATGGGAAGAAAGCCACAGATGCATTATCTCAACTGAACAAGATGTTCTTGATAGCATTTCAATTACCTCACTGAAGCAATCATCCTCTCTTAAATATTGATCAGAATTAGAAAGGCACCTAAAAACTATGCTGCCAAATACGCATTTACAAAGAGACTGTATCTTAGAGACATTATCACAATTATACTTGGTACTTGCATTATCATCAGATAAATGCAATACTCAAGAGTATAGGTTCAGTTTCCCCAAAATGAAACCTTCTAACATAGTGCACGGGAAGACACAAGTAATGCTTCTGAATCACATTCTTCCCAATTACCTATTTTGTATGAAAGGAAAATAGTATGGCTTATACAAAATTGTATGTAGTATCCAAGAACAAATCATGGAAAAATAACTTTTCTTGAAAGCACCGTGAAGCATCTAGTCAGATAACCAGGATACAGGATTAAGGGTAATCCAGAAAAATCCACCTACAGAAAAAAATAATTAACCACACCCTAGGAAATGAGATTTCATCCTGGAGGATGATAGACTTAAGGCACTGAACTTAGTCAGGCAGCTGGGCTACAGTGGAAGCCAGAACTTGATGTCCACATATGTGCCACCAGGGCGTTGAGCAGAAAAACTAATGGCAATTACAGTACTAACCAACTTTGTACAACTTTGGTACTGGTCACCAAGAAGCTGCAACCCCTTCTGAATCCTTTTATTCTGGAGATGAACACTTGGGAAGACACAGCTCCTTACCACTCTAAAAAAAAGGGCGTGGCACCTTCAATATTTCACCAAAGCCTAGAACTTTGGATTTCGCCGTCTCATTTAACCTAGGCCAGACCTAAATACAAGGTAAGTTAACACAGGAACTTTAAACCTCATGCTTAAACTATCTAGCAGTCTCCCACTCCTGCCTCTGAACTGCAGTGCCAGTCAGTTATTTAAAGAAAACTACCACACATTCACACCAGAATACAAGTGAAGACCATAGAAAAAATTACAGCAGCTTGAAGAAAAGTGGACATTTTCAATATTACCTGACTTCAATTGCAGCAGTGTCATGCAAGAGTACAATCTTCAAGTCATTAACTTATTATGATACCATGAACAAGGAGAGTGTTGGGAGTGACTTAAATGAACATTTTAGTAAACAAATTCAACCTTAGATCAGGAAGAACAAATGTATCTGGAGAACCTATGCTTTTGAGCCACAAGCATTCATTATCCTTACCCATGTCTCTCTCTGGCTTGAATCTATGAATAACAGATGAGTTGCTGTAAGGTACAGAGTTCCCATCAATGACTTATTGCTCGTGCTGAACCGATCTAGTAATTTCACTTGCTCTACCTGTAAGAAAAAAGGGGAGGAGGAGACAAAATTTAGTTTTTGCTTTTTGCAGAAAGCAAAATCCTAACTTTGCAAAAGCTCTGCCAGTTTGTGCAATAACTTTGAAAATGAAAGCATAACACGAGGCTATTCCAGCCAAACTATTAAGAACACAATCATGGTCGCATAAGCTTCGAGTAGACTGACTAGTTAGAATATCCTGCTTCAATACAAAAGTGCATAATGAAGGCACAATGCCAAGATCATCAGAATACTTACCCCATATATACATAACTACTATGGTTATTTACTAGTAAAAGAGACCAGGATATCAAGTTTAAAAAAAAAGAATAATTAAGAAAAATTAATTACTAAGCTTTTAAACTGCTTCCCCAAAACAGAGCAAACTCACTAACAATTTCCTGTTACTGAGATGCCAGCACTGAATTAACAGCTGATCTCAGCAACATGCTTCATTGGCTGTCTGCAGACTCAAAGCCATAAAGATTATGTCCTCCTGACTTCAATTTTAGATATCTACTGTCTTTTATATCATCCCCAACCGTAAAAATCTAGATCACAGCCTTGCTTCATAGTCAAAATAAATTCCAGTGAAATACAAGCATTATACTAATAATTATAACAGTCTCCTAGAAATTCAAGGACTATGCTTGCATTTGAAGCAGGTATTTCAAGTTTGAGTCTTGCAAGGGCAAATTTCTCCTCCTGGTATTCCATCAACATTGTTATCTCAATCCTATGCAAAATATTTCAAAAGAAAGTGACTTCTAGATAGCCTGCATTTTATCTGCTGCTCATAATTTCACAGGCTCCACAGTTTGCTTTATTTGAAGCAAACATTACACGATTCTTTGTGTGCAACAGGAAAGGAGCATGGCAAATGGCTTATCTCCATGCATTCCTCTATTTCTTGGCAGCACTGCATCATTAAGGCCAAGTTAAAGCTCTTATGCTTGAGGCTTGCTGCTACTGCCATTAAATGCATGGGAGAACTCCAAAAACTTCCACACCAGCAAGACCAGAACCCAATGAGGTGACTAGGAGAGACCACATCTACTGTGCTGACGTTAGGCCATTTTTAAATCATATGTACAAACTTATTTACCTACTAAAAGCACATATAAAACATTAAAAAAATTCTCTTTTCAATTCAGGTATTTCTTATTATCTAGCAAGGCCTAATTTTGGTTTTGAAAGTTAGAAAAGCAAGTTAATGCATACAAAACAGAATAGAGGAAATGCAGATACCTACTAAAAGCCAGCGCTACTATGATGTTCTAGATTTCAGTTTAGAAAGCAAAGAAGATTGGAAGCTACATGCATCAATACCTCAAAATACATTATGCTGTAATCAGCAAGGTATCAGTGCTCAGATACAGAGCAGCATAAATCAATATAGCATAGCCAAAGCACAGAATTCATTTTGGGCACTTCTGCAGCAGTAACTGCTCAGGTACCTGGCACTGCACCTCCCCAGCAAATTAAGAAGCTGCTCCAGTTTTGTTCCAGCAACACAACCTGCAAAATCCTGGCATGTCAAGTTCCATTCTCCTCCATGTAACAAGGCAGCTATTCTCAAAGCTGTATTTCTATGTTTGATGAGGACAGGCATTAGTGCTCCAGCTTCCTCTTAATATAGGTGAAGTCTTCAAGAATTCTGAAAGCTAAGTTCTAGATATACTTTTCTTAAAGGCAACTGAAATGTAGTTTAGATTCAGCCTCCATAGATGACATGTTCATTGACCCAAGCCAGCTTTGATGGGTACTCAGCTAGATAAACACTTTTTAAAGTTTATTTTAAAGTTTGGCAAATCCTTAGTTATGGAAAAACAAGTCAGTCATCGGTTTTGAAGAGAACTGGTTCAGATTAAGAGATGGAAGACTGCTATTGAGTTTTAGCACATCTGTAAGTAGAGATCCTTTAAGTAGTCAGAAGTGATATTCTGACAGTAGCTAGCACTAACAAATTAGTGAGTTTTTAAACCAGTAAGAATTTGAACAGCTACCTCAATAATATAGAGTATTTACAGCAAAAGAGTCACCAGATAGTTTGTCAGGACCGGGAGTTACAACTTAAAGGCAAAAAAACCCAAAAAGTGTTTCAATAGAGCAGACAAGTTGGAACAGAAAGGAAGGCTGAAACTATGCCTCTGAAGTCTTACACTTAAAAAGCTGAAGGATTAAATTAGAACAATTAAACCAAGACAAAAACAATTACGTATATCATTCCAAGACTCTTATTTCAACTTTGTATGACATTCACTGAAATTAAGTTTTCCCTTCCCCATTTAAGTCTCAGGCTTGCAAACATAAGTTTAGGATTTAGCAGTTAATCTAACCAAAACTTTCCATCTCCAGTAGAAAACCCATCAGTATTTTCACTAAAACAGATTTAACTTAAAATATACAGGCTGAAGAAATTCCAGTCTTTTCTACTACGTTTTGCTTTAAAATATTTTTAAGGACACTTCAGTTCCAAAGCTTCACCGCAAAACCACAATATTCTTACTTGTAATTTCCCCACCACCACCATTTATGACATTGTGAAGTGGTTTTCATCATTCATGGCTATTTAAGTATATATTCTCAGACAGAAGTGATTTTTAAGTTGACCTTACTTCTTTATTGAGCATAAATCTGTTGGACAGTTTAATTTCACAAAAAGCTACATTTTATTTCAGGTAGCTATGCTGACAGTTCTAAGACAATTTTAACTTCAACATTTCCAGCAAACTGAAGTTTAAGGACAAATAAAACCTATTTCATCAACCTTCTCCTACGGATGAAAGCTTCCCCACACAGCAGTTACTTTGTGCAAGGCTGCACTGTTATTTCAATCTTATTCCACTATTACTTTGATAAAATAAATTTTAAAAAAAAACCCTGAAGTGCTGTGAGATTAGAAAAAGTAGATATGTCTCAGAACAGTTGGAATGAGATCTAACTTGAACCTACACATGCACTGAACTTTTAAGGCCCACAGTGCAGGCTATACTTTAGTTTTCTTCCTTCCTGTAACTCCAATACTCATAATTATTACCATCTAGCATACATGCATTTTAATCCACCTGGATATTCAATAAGCCAACAGCTTACAAAAAGCTAAGCAAGCGTCACAATTATAACCAAAACCTCATGCTATTTCTAGCCATTAAGTTGATACTTTTAGAATGGGATAATTTTTTTGGTATGAATTATAAAAATAATTGCTTCAAGTAGTAAGTCTTGTATCTTACAAGTTGTGTTCAGAGCTTGTTTCTCTCTTCCATTATATTGCTACATGAAGTATTTTTTCCCCAGCAGGGGCCCAAAACCACACAGAAACACACTCACTTGCTGATGCAGACAAGTCAGTGACCTGCAGCCTCTCTAGTCTCAATTTCACATTTGAAACTGAAACGGCTACTCAGATCATCAAGAGACTTTGGTTTTAGTCTAGTTTTTATTTTGAAATTAGTTATTGACTGTAACAATACAATATTAAGTTCCCAAACAAGGATTTTGAGGTTTATAAGTAAATAGGCTGATAAAGAAACCTCATCTCCAATCTGTCAGCTTAGTGCAAGATTATTTCATCCAGTAAAGTAAAGCATCACTAACAGTAGCTTCATCACAGACCTCCCTCCTGTTTCATATGTACAGATACAAATGTATATGAAAAATAAAACTAGGTATACATGTTTTATATAAAATTTATATAAGCTATTACTAAAAAAAAGCACCTATTACCTTTACATAATTATTGGTTATAAACGTACTATTTGGAGCTGAAATATGACCACTCCTTTTCTCCACACATCTATAAATCTAGTTTAAAGTCAGACTGCCAGGTTCGGCAACTAATCGCTTGACAGTTTCCAGGACCCAACAGAGAGGGCAGTCTTCTCAGAAGCCCTTGCAGTCAGGGTTGATGAGCAAGATAAGAAAAATACTGTCAGAAATTTAATTCTATAAGAGCTGTGACTTAAAAACTTACTCAAAAATTATTTACAAAAAAGACGACTTATGGGTTTTTTTCATCTTTATTATAGAGAAAGGACAACCTAACAAACTAAAAATAGAAAAAGAATCAGAAGAGTCTAAGGTGTCAACTGCAGCTTAGCTAATTTTTAGTAGCTTAACATATTGCACATATACCGATAGCTTGCGTTCCTAGCAACACACACTAGAGTCTTTAAAAGGAAGAAAAAAAGAAAAAACAACTCAATACTTGTTTTCACAACCGATTTGCCCCCAAAGCTAGAAAAAACCACAAGGAACCGCATCCCGATTACAAAAAACAACTGCAGCCCCCTCCCAGCTGCTTTCCTCTGTTCCCCACCCCACAGGCCCCGTTACCTCACGAGAATTTTTAGCTTTTCCCCTTGTTAACGAGACGGTACGTTCCGGCTGGGCCCCACCGGGGCAGCACGCACCGAGCTCCCCGCGGGAGCTTTCACCCCTTCCAGCCCCCTCAGCTCGGAGGGGACCCCGGGAGCGGCGGGGCCGGGGGGAGGGACGCACCCGGGCCGGGCTGCCCCCACCGGAGCCCAGGGACACCCCGAACACCACGGACCGGCTCAGAGCCCCTCCCGGGAAAGCAGCAGCTACAAAACAGAAGGAGAAGAACAACAACGCCCTCGCCCGCAGCTGACAGCGGCGGGGCAGGGACTCGCCGGGCCGAGCAGGCCGCCCGCCCGCCCCGCAGATACCGGCGCGGCACCGGCAACGCCACCACTCCCCTGCCGACCGTCTCCCCCGCCGAGGCGACGCACCACCCGGCGGAGGGAGGCCGAAACCGAGGCGGAGGTACCTTGGTGGTGCGGATATGCTCCATAGCGGCGCTCCCTCAGCTGCGGCCGCCGCCCGCTGTGGTACTACTGGGCCGGGGCGGCCGTCACCTAGAAACGCTTCCGGGGCGGGGCGGGGCGGGGCGGCCGCTGGGGCGGGGCAAAGCCGGAGGTGGCTGCCTGCAGCGCCCCCTGGCGGCAGGCGGAGGACAGGACGTCTCCGCCGAGCTGCGAGCAACGCGCATGCGCGGTCCGGGGCGGGGATGCTTGAGGGGCGACGGCGTGAAGTGGCGGGCGGAGGAGGGCGCGGGTCTGTCTGTGTCCCGCAGGGCCCCAGGGGTTCTCTGTGAGATTCGGGGGAGAGGAAGGGGCTGTGGGTGCTGTGCTGGGGGCCGCGGAGCTCAGTGGTGGCCGTGAAGCCTTGCCTGGCAGGCAGGCCTGAGGAGAGAGAGGTTCTGGGCGCCGCGGCGGGGTGACAGTAGGTGTGTGGAAAAGAAGAACCGTTCCCTGGTTACCCAGGCCTCTGTTCGTGGTGTGGAGAGTTTTGGTCTTTTAGAGTCTCAAGAATGTGGAAATTCCTGGAAGATGGTCTTTTTTGTTGTAGTATCACAGAATCACAGAGGGGTTGAGGTGGGAAGAAACTTCTGGAGGTATCTAGTCCAAACCCCCCCGCTTGAGCAGGGCCATCCAGAGCCAGTTGCCCAGGGCCATGTCCAGGAAGCTTTTGAATATTGCCAAGGATGGAGACTCCACCACCTTTCTGGACAACCTGTTAAGTGCTCGGTCACCCTCACAGGGAAAAAGTGCTTTCTGGTGTTCACACGGAGCCTCCTGTGTACAAGAACAAATTCACAAGCTGCACAGTGCAGTTGACTCATCCATGTCATAGTTGTGTGGGTGCTAGTGCATGAGATCTTGCATGTGCTGCACAGTAGTTGAAAGACACGATAAAACTTAGCCTAAAGGTTGCAGAATGGGCTAGCAAGAAACAGTCTTGCTGTTTTCATTATCTAAATTAGAAACAAATCAGTAGGACAGTTTTTATACAAAATTAACCTCTTTTACTAGCACAGAGACTTCATGATCTTGAAGTTTTTGAGCGGTGACATATATAGACTGTCACAAGTTATTAAAATCATACTAGGAAAGCATCACTCTTTCCTTGACAGGTCCCCTTTTCCTGTTATGCCAATATATCTTGTCACTTCATGGCCTATCAGATCAGAAGAGCTTGTTGACAAATGACTCTATGGAAGTCACTCTATACATGCCATCTAACATTTCACAGTTTGGGGCTTTCATTTTTTTAAGATGTTCAAAGATAGGCATGTGCATGCAATATATAAGTAAACATGGACTAAGCATCACAAATTACATTTAACTATATGCCTGAAGCTCTGCCTTGTGTAAAGGACAACTACCCAGTCACCCATAAATAATCTCAAAAATCTTTTCGGTAAATAATATCCATTGGCCACCCACAGTCTTCAGCAGTCACAGCACTGAGCAGCAGAACGTAGAGGTTTTTGCATTGTTTGGGGTGCTTTGAGAAACTCTGGAGGTAATCATATAAAACCTTTTGTAGGAGTGATTCATCTAGACTATCAGGTATATTTAAAAGTATAGTAATGCCTTTTCCCGAGCAAACGTGGCGTGTGGGATACTCTGAAAAGCTCCCCTGCATTTCAACAGTGGCTTCTTACAGTTCCCCGGTTTTATACGAGAGACGTGTCGTGATCCAGCGACCAGACGGAGCAGGGCTGGAACCATTCACGCAGCTTCACGCCGCGCCCTGTGGCGTACGTGTGCGTGAAGTAGAGCCTGGTAGGGAAAACACGAGGGGTAATTTGTGCAGTAAATGCGGGCAGTAATTAGTAATTGAGTTCGCGAGATTCAGGTGCTGTAGTTTGTGCGACAGTGTTAAAAAACGATGGGTCCTTGGAGAGGCAGGGGAGAACCTCGTGCTGGCTGCGAGCCCAGGCTCAACCTGAAATTAAGCGGGTTTTGGGGTTTTCACGGAATTCGAGTAGGATTTTGAGCCGGTTTCCTGCTTCCAGGCCGGTCACCTGGAGGTAACCTTTGAGGTATCGACAGCCGAGGGCAGCCCCAGCAGCCGGGGCAACGGCTGCCGAACCCGGTTTCGGGACCAGCGGGGCAGGGATCACAAAAGCCCTTCAGAAATCGGTTGCCGGTTTCAACACGGGCGAGGCGCGGACCTTGGGGGAGGCTGCCTCCCGCCGGCTGTCTTGCCGGGAAAGCATCTCCCTGATCTTCGCCTCTTAGGCCCGGAGCCCGGCTCCGGGGGCCGCTGCCGCCCCGCGCGTTGCTGTCGCTTTAAGGGCCGGCGGGCGGCGCGGCACCGCCGTCGTCCCGTGGTGCGTTGCGGCGGGCGCGCGTAGGGAGCGTGGCCGGTGCCCGCGCGCTCGCTGCCGCCGCTGCCGGGTTCGAAGTTGGCGCCAGCAGCCATGAGGCTCTGAGGGGGCCGCAGCCGCCCACTCCTCGGGAGGCCGC